GTTGCTACTTCATCACTGTCATTTTGCTACTGTTATGAATCGGGTGACCCCTGTGAAAGGGTCCTTCGGCCCCCAAAGGGGTCGAGACCCACCGGTTGAGAACCACTGCTATAGGTCAAGGTAGAACTGTCCCCCACAGGGTTTCCAGAGCTACAAGGTTTGTTGTTGTTTTAAAGCTACACATTTTGATGGGAGCAAAAAGCCTCATCTTTCTAAGAATGGCTGGTGGTGTTGAGTTATCAATCTTGTAGTTAGAAGCCCAATGCTTGACTCAGTATGCCACCAAGATTCCTCAGACCTGCTAGGTCAGAACCAAACCCACGCCATCAAGTGACTCTGGCTTATCGTGAGATTGCCAGATGGTAAATCTTCTCAGGAGCAGACAGCCTCCTCTTTTCCGATGGAGTAGCTTGTGGGTTTGAACCACTGACTTTGTGGTTAGCAGCCCTGTGCCTACCTCACAGTGCCACCAGGGCTCCTTGGTTACATACCAAGTTACATTCTTGGTAATTCTACACCTATATATGCACCCCAAAGAACTGAAAACATATCTACAAAAAACTTGGACCCAAATATTCATAACATTACTCATAATAACAAAAAAAGGGGAAAGAATCCAAATGCCCATCAACTGAGGAATGGATAAACAAAATATGATCTATCTGTACAACAGCTTATTATTTTAGTATTATGTTGGCAATAAAACTGAATGAAATAATGAGACATGCGACCAACATGAATTTTTTTTTTTAAAGCAAGCATTTAGGTTATTTTTAGGTAAAGAAAAACAAACTTTTCCAGGGGAGACAGGTGAACTAAAGGTCAGGAGGAAGCAGGGTGGGGGCTCCTCACAGCTCTTGCTCCGACCCCCAGGTGCCATGGGAGGGGTCTCTGGAAGGAGAAGGCCCAGCAGGGGGACCTCCTCACAGGTGCCGCAGAGGGTTCCTTCCACAGGTGGGGTGGGTGAGGCAGCAGCTCTCCCTTGGTCATTGGATTGGTTCGAGTGTATGGTTCCATTTGTAGTGGATTGGCATGATTAACACTTGGGGGCAGGGGATTAAGTTAAGGACTAACATAAGGAGCCGAGTAGCTTATTCAGTTGGATTCTGAATCACAATCAGGAAATAGTCTTTATCTGGTGCAACCATAATTTCATTTTTCTTGGAACGAATTTGAAGGAAGGTGAGGTCATTCTGGGGGTCGATTTCTGGCACAGCGCTCCTTGCCTTCAAGATGAAGTTGTGCATGAGGTTGGCGTACTGTGTGGTGGTGGGGTTGTCCATGGTGCTTTTGATGGGAATGCCTTCCGGGTTCACCACGATGATCCCCTGCATACCCTTCTGACGCTGCAGTCGCTTCAGGGTGTCTTCCACCTCTGCCATCTCGAAGCGATCCTGCAGCACCGCGTCGCCCAACATGAATAAATCTTAACATTATGTTAAGCAAGAAAAGCCAATCACAAAGGATCACCCAACATAGTCACGTATTTATGTGGAATGGCCGGACAGGCAAACAGTCGGAACGTTCGATAGTAGTGGTGATCTAGGCTGGTGGGAGATGGGAATGGGCAGTGGGAACGGGATTGCTAAGGGCCTTAGGGTTTCTTCTTGAGGGTGATGAACATATTTTAAAAGAATATTGTGTGATCTAGGATTCACCAGGGTGCGAGGGTGGGGAAGGGAGGGGGGAAAAAGAAGAGCTTATACCAAGGGCTCAAGTAGAAAATGTTTTGGAAGTGAGGATAGCAACATATGTATAAATATGCTTGATACAATTCATGTATGGAATGTTCTAAGAGCTGTAAGAGGCCCCAATAAAATGATTTTAAAAAATAATAATATTGCGGTGATTGCACAACTCTGCAAATATACTAAAAATCATTCTCACATGCACTTAAAAGCTTTAAATTATGAGGCAATATAATTCAGTAACAGTGCTTTACAAGTCTTAGAAGCAGTAAGTTAGTAGCAACAAGACGGACTGCTCAGTAACTGGTCCTGGGAAAGTGGCTATTCCTCTGGGGAAATTTTAATCCATTTCATCCTCTAAGGTTGAGTGGTTCTCCACCTTGGCTGTACATGAGTCACCTGGAGTACTGCATAACAACAACCAGGCCTAGTCCCGGCCCAACTTTTATTCTACAGGGCTGGTAAAGCGGGAGGTCAGGCACTGGTTGGTTTTGTAATTCTTTGGATAGCCAGGGTTGAGAACCAGGGCCACATTAAAAAAAAAAAAA